TCCAAGTAAAGTGATAGTGACACTGCAAAAATAGTGCAAGGAATGAATAAATTATCCTTGAAACCTTAAGTAATATCTTTGAGACTGTCCTCTGTTCGTATACTCTAAGGATTTTTTTACGTTCTGTCAATCATCCTTATCATCTTAAAAAAACTTACATTAAGGTGTTAATTTTTGTATTTTGTCAAACCAATGTACGAAAGCCCAATTCCCTTCATACCATATGGTTCGGCAGATGACCCTGGACAGAGGTTCCACATGGCCAAGGAATAAATAAACTATCTGAAAATATTAGGGTGAATTTCCCCTTTTAATGGACGTTCTTAAACTCTGATTACAGAACATCAATATAGGCTGCTCCATAATTCCTTTAGTTTTTTTTTTTTAATCCCCCTAGAGACACTTTATATAAGCAGACTTGGAAGAATGGCGGCTAGGTATCATAACATATGCATTTCTCTCCTGGTTCATGACGCTTATAAACAGTCCAGGTGGGAGCTATTATCCGCTGAGTCATCTCTGCATACTACACCATATCTGGAGTTACTTAAAGAACTCTCTCTCTCTCTCTTCTGAAGGCTTCTGTGAGCAGAAGGACAAAGAACAGGAGTGCATTGAGCAGCTGTCTCTTCAAGAGATGGTGGGTTTTCTGCTGGAAGGCAAACAGATCCACTTCCACTCTTTTTCACAAAGAGTGGAATTGGCTCAGATTGTTTGAGTTAGTCTCCATTTACCCACCATCTTTGCAGCCTGAGAAATAAGAAATAACTACCAGGCTATGCGTTTGCAGGCTTAGAAGGAAAACAGCCCAGAGGAGATTGAGACTCTCAATTGCTTGGTATTATGGTATATCCACAGCACTTAATGGTGCAGCTGATAAAATGCTGCACAGTTTTAGGCTTTACTGGGCCTTGCAAAACTTAAAACACCAATTCAACTTTCTTCTAGATTTCATCAAATATAATTTGAATGTATTTTACTGGGATCGAGGTTAAGAGAAGGTTGCTTTTCCAGACTTTTACAAACCAGAACATGAAAAGTAAGAGTTATCTTGGTTATATTTGAGGGATTTGGGGAAATTCCAACCCTTTAAACTCTGTGAAGGGTCCTTGAAAAAATTGGATGTTAATCTCTGCCTTGGATCACCAATTTTCCAACTGTTAAAGAAGCACCACTGTTTTCTCCAATCAGCGTACATGCTGACCTCACTATGTGTTTTAGAGCAGGAATGAATTAGAGCTAAAACATTTATGCGTACAGGTTAGGGAAGAAAGAGCATTTGTACACCTCTGCTGTCTTAAAACTTTGTTATGTAATTGTTTGAACTATAAGAACGTAGAAAAATTAAAAGGAATAGTTTGAGCCTTATGCAGAGAATAACAGTTGATTTCCCCTCCACTCAAACCCCAGTTGTTTCTGAACTCATCCTCTCTTCCAAAAGTTGTCATTAGAGCGGAACAAAGACACAATCTCACAGTTAAAGAAAAAAAAGGCCCCGAGTCTGTGATGATGGATTACAGCTTTGAACTGTTGATGCAGTGTGTCGTTGAGATGGAGCTTTGATGGAGTGTGAAACCGAACAGGATGTTTTACGCAGTGGACTGTAAGGCAACGAAATTATACACTTCAAAACACATTTGTTACGTTAGAGTCTGAAACAGCGTATCAGAGATAGCATATGAGGTTTGAAAGGAAAAGATGTTCATGACTTCACAAAAGGTCCAGTTTGCACAGAATACTCCCAAAGTGGAAGCAAGGAGATTTACTACAGCACCCGTTTCAGGTTAAGTCAAGGAGCCCTCAACAACAATAACTAACTAAAGCATTTTTTTTTTAAGTATTTATAATTTGTTTTGGAA